AAAGTGAATACCGAAGATACTAACTGGAATTCGACGATGCGTTTTTGGAAACACCATTATTTTGGTTGTACGTTAAATTATTATTGCCTACTGTCCAGCTCTGTCGGTCTAAGCCTGACTTTGGCCTTTCCAGCTAATTTCTAAAATTTGAACTAGACCTGGACTATATACTGCAGTCCAGTTCTCAGCATCACCCTTCACATTTTTTTTTGTCATCTGAGATAAATAAATTCTAAAATCTTAGTGAATTAAATGTTTTTTTTTGTGTTGTTCAAAATCAATTATATGTATATTTGGACACATATTAATATTCAATATTTTAATTATAATATTTTATACCGTTTTAAATCTTTTCAAAATTATGTATTAATATGTAACAGTTAAGTGATATTATTTTTAAGTAAAAACTATATTTACTCATCATAAATGGATAAAATTAATACAATTCAACAACCCACATTATTTTTAAAAAGAATTTTGATTTTGTTTGTGTGTGTGTGTGTGTGTGTGTGTGTGTGTGTGTGTGTGTGTTTGTGGAGGTTAGTATCAGCCATGCTGATGGAAGTCAAAAACGGTTTTCACAGATGATTTAAGCAGTTTCGTTTTGGAAGTGTTAAAATAACAAGCCATTTCTTGCCCCATTTAACAACAGATTGTAGGTCATTTTTGAGATCATCTGACCTTATTGAACTGATCAGAATTATCATCAATACAGGAGGAAATAGATGTGTCATATGCATAGATACCGGGTTGAGAACTAATGGCATTAAGATGGTATTTGATGAAAAATTAGTATCAATGTAGGTCCAAGGATAGAACAATGAGGGACATCTGCAGTAATATAAAAAGATCTAGCAGTGACAACTTTCATTTCGCGATTTGATAATAATGGTTCAATCAGATAAAAAATACGTCCAGAAATACCATAACCTAAGACAATCATTCGAAAACCTGTCGAATGTCTTCGAGGTATTCAAAGCAAAAGCCATAGCTTCAACCTTCTAATCTAAACCTTGATAAACTGTTTCAGCAATAATCTTTAACATATCAGCAGTTGACCTAAAGAAGCATAAGCCATTAATTATGATAATGAATCAAAATATTCGTCAGTTGCGATAACTTAAAAGCTGTTTAGTTGTATTAATTGTATTTTGTATATCTACAAAATCAACGAAGCAAATAATAGAATGTGATTCTTTTCCCAGGTTAACTAAATACAAAATTAATTTACAGGATTTTCTCGTATGTAGACAATGATCCATAAGACGAGAACACAATAAATAATGGCGGGAAATGTGTTGACAACAAATGAATTGGTCTACCGCATATTTTCTGCAGTTGATGATAATTATTGTTGAATACCAGCAAAAGGAAATGAGATTCTGAGCAGCCAATCTTTTAAGATCCCTGAGGTTGCAACGAATTCGGCTAGTTTTCGACCGAGTTCATTATTTTCGTAAGGTTTCTCTTGCGACAGGAAGGTATGGATGCATATTTTCTCCTCTAGTTGTGGCTAAATTAGACGGGGCTGTTTAGCCGTTGATGGCACCCAGCTTAGAAAGAGGAAATCTTTGAATTCACTATATATACCGGGTGAGGCGGATACGTTACAGCCATTCAAAGGATTAAGGAGTTCGCTATTAATTACGATACGAGCTTATAAATATTATAATTGCCTCTGTATTCGGTTTAAAAAAGAATTTTAGCAAACGAAAGTGAGAAAAAGGGACTTCTGTTTAACTATGAGAAGACAGCGCCTATAGTCATCAGCCGGAGAGGCAACTAAAAGTGTGAGTTTCGAACTGGAGACACCAAATTCAAGCGGTTGAAGAAATTTAACTCAGTTTTGCAGTAACAGATGACACCGGAGATTATCGTAATAGCAAATTATAATCTTCCAGAAATTAAAGAAACTACCGAAACAGGAAACTTTCGTTGGAAACAAAAGCAAGAGTGCTGAAATAACTATTTTATGTCTCAGCATTTTACATCTCTGCATCTGTATGGCAAAGAATGCTCGACAATTTCCAGAAGAAGATAAAGAAGAAACACGAAATATATGTTTCTATAGACGAATGCTGATAATAGCATGGATAGAACACGTAAGCAACGCTGAAGTTTAAAAAATCAGAACAAGAAGGATATTCATACTTAAAATTAACTAACATTTTTAAGATGCTTTATGCAGAATAAATACTAGGAAAATTTAACACTGGCAGGGTAATTGAATGCGGAATAAATACTAGGAAAATTTAACACTGACAGGGTAATTGAAAGAAGGAGGGAGAAAAGGAAAAAGCAATGAACATAGATAATGGTATTTCTTGAATGGATGGAAGATCAGGGACAAAGACGCATGGTAAAAATCAAACGTTATTTAGAGCAGAAAGAAACAGAAAGGTGTAGAAAGCTATGATCGACCATAATCTCAGTTGATACGACACATAAAAATGATGCTCTTCACATCCTGGAAATTGGAGCAGCAACATATTTGTATTCTGGTTTTCCTTTTTTTTTTTTTTTCATTCCGTCGACTAAGCTTGTCTAGGAAGCTAAAGCCGTAAGATAAACTATGTAAACCATGTTATCTAGATTCAACTTAATTGATACGACTGACAACCTCTCTGTTATGTAAGCCTATTTGCGAAAGTTTCTGCGAAAATCCTCCGTTGCGAAAGTTAATTCTTGCTATAGACGTCATTATAACGAACACCTAAAGTAAGCTATTATGGATATTTTTCTTTAACCCTGACAAATTTTTTGTGTAAAATATTATTTTCTAATATATATTTCTTTATATTCATCTATACTAGTCTATCTAGTTTATTTTCTCTAACGTCACTCAGGATCTTAATGTTTCACTTGCAAGAAATTGAAATGCAGATGGTCAGTGATTGTTATTTTTACATTTACAACGCTTACTTTAGTACGGTAAACAGTTAAGTAATATTAAATGAAAAGAATAAGATAGTATTTCATCAAAATGACAATGAGAAGTAAGCATATCGAAAATGACTTCTTAAAATTAGTTTCGTACAAAGATGCATGGTAAGTGAAAATGTCATTTTCATGCAAAACACTGACGGTCACATATATTAACTAGTGTTCAGTGCCAGATTTAGCTATAGGTTTAGCAAGCTGAAGCCTGGAGTCTCCAGCCAAAGTGTATAATATTTTTGACACTGTCATAAGCCTTTCTTACATATGCTGTCACAATGCATTGTAGATTCTGAACAAGCCTTCAGTAATTTTAAACACCCGTCATCAGCTTTAGCTTTACTCAAATTGTTTCATTTAACACTATTTCCCATTTTTCTACCCTTAAAAATGAGGAATTTGGAAGGACCCACAAGTTGATTAGCGTAGGACCTCTTTTCATCTATATCCTGTCGGCCGCATAAGAAATAGCGCGGTGGGAAACACCATCAAACCAAAATCAGGCAATGACAAGATCTTGTCATTCAACAAATGACAAGATTTTCCATAAACTTAATAATTTTTATAATAAAGCTATAATTGATAGTCGCTACAAAAGCCCAAAACTAACTTATATAAAAATGAAAATGGAAAGCATAGAAAAACAGAAGTAGAAAAATAATTTGGTATACACCCCCGATACAACCAAATGGTAAAGAACAAATTAGGACAAACATTCTTCGCATTAACAGTCAAGCACTTTCCTAGAGAAAGTAAACTAAGTACTATTTTCAATAAAAAATACACTAAAATTGAGTTATAGCCGTACTGAAAACATAGAAAAATTATTAAGAAACATAATACTAATATCTTAAATAAACACTTATACCAAAACCGAAATATTTTACATAATAGAAAAATAAAAATAAAAACAGATGAAGGTAAACAAAAATTATGTAACTGTAGAAACCCTCAAAACTGTCCTCTACAAAATAAATGTCATACAGAATCATTAGTATACCAATACAATTTATCTTCTATTGAAAATCCTGAAAACATAAAAATTTATATAGGTTGCACAATCCATGAGTTCAGAAAACGTTACAATCAACATCAAAGTTAATTTAGGATAAATAAATATAGAAATCAAACATCTCTCTCAAGGTACTTCTGGTACTTAAAAGAATCCAATAAAAGACCTACAGTAAAATGGAAATTAATAAGAAAAGCTAGAATATGTAGGTCATTAAATGACACATGTCATTTGTGCATACATGAGATACTATATATTACTAAGTTTATAAAAAGTAAAAATTTACTGAATCAGAGAAATGAAATATTATTGCCGTCATTTTCAAAAAAATTTCTTAAATAATATTTAAAAATAAAATTTAAAAAATGCGAGCTGGTAATATACATACTTATATTTGATATGAAAAAATAATTTTATATAACATTAAGTTGTTTTAAAAATAAATATAGTCTATTAATAATTAAGAGTGAAAATATTTTAAAATTATAGTTAAATAAAACGTATTCTAACCTCAACATTCAAAAGAAGATCTTTAAGCATACAAGTTGGAAACCATGCCGAAAGAATTTTTGCCGTTAACAATAAAATTAAAAAACAAAACAAAACAGACGACATGCATTTAACGAATGTCAGAATTCGTTGATAATACATCCCTTCCTTCCTAAACTTAACCTCTTTTTCGAACGTAACTAATAACTGATACAACAACAGTTAATAAAAATGAACTCGCTACCAACCCTTGTCTGAATGATTGGATTTCTCTTTATCATTGGAAACAGTGAATTATGAATTTTTGTGTGCGTTTAAAACTCAGTAAATTTTTTTTAAAAAAGTTACTCCAATATTCGCTTGAAGACGAAATGGAACTAATGTTTTTAATTTAATTACAAAATTAAATTTGAAGTTTTTAGCTTCCATTTTATGGTTATTAATGTCTAGCGAAAAACCCATATATATATATATATATATATATATATATATATATATCCCAAATACAGATTTAGAGAGGAAATTAAAAATTACACACACATGCACGCATCTATCTATCTAGCTATCTATCTATCTATCTATCTATCTATCACTCTAAAATAAAATGCTTAAAGTATATCAATAATCTCAAACAATCATCATTAAAATAATGCACCTGAACCTCCATACAATCTTTCATCAGATGTAACTGTAGAAAGCGCAGGTGTTTGAAGCTTAAACATCAAAACAGTTTAGGTAAGGTATACTCTCGATTTTATCATATATATATATATATATATATATATATATATATATATATATATATATAGGCAATAGATCCGTTAGTATATAATCACAGTAATATCAGATATTAAAACTGATCTACAGATAGCTCAATGTATTTATTATAATAGAACATATGTTTTTATATAGCAAAATTCCGAAATTATCTCATCTGGGTATATTCTCTCTCTCTCTCTCTCTCTCTCTCTCTCACTCTCTCTCTCTCTCTCTCTCTCTCTCTCTCTCTCTATATATATATATATATATATATATATATATATATATATATGAGACGGAGAGATACGAGCGAGTTAATTGCGTAGCAGATAATTTTCCGTTAATATAAACAGCAACGTTTTCTTTTTTTAGTTTTTAATATAAGAAATGTCGCCGCGTCACACTGGTTGTCTACTAAGTCCTAAACGCATTGCTACCGCTTAATTCCGCAATTGTGTTTCAACTTCTGTACTTCCAACTCTGCTTGCACATTCCCCTTCTCTTGGCCAAGCGTTTAATCTCTCTCAAGTAAGGTTACCTTTTCCGTTGCATAAAGCCGACTACTACAGTTTTAAATCGTTTCTTTATTGTCGTTTATAGCCGTCCCCAATTTATTTTTTTATTGTCCTACCAGTTTTTGCATTGTATTCACTGTGGTAATAAGTAAGCTTGCTTTTTTATTAGTAAACATTTCACTAGAGATTTCACTAACTTTTCACCGTTCTCTTCTGGTATTTCCCCACATATTCCATTTGTCAATTCATACTTGCCTAAGACATGCCACCAAAGAAAAGAACTTACCTAGGTTGCAAAACTTCTGCCACCCGGTCAGCCATGCGAATAAGGAATAGTGAATGGTCTTTAGAACGTTCAGTTTGCCTGTCTCAAAATGCCTCTCGGAATGCTTCACTCAGAGCCACTGATTCCGAAGATCAATGTAGCCATCGGCTTTCCATAAGATCAGGACTGAACGCTTCTGGGCGCGAGGCTGAAAATGATGATCAAAGGACTCAACGGCTGAAGAGAAACGCTTCTTCAACTGCTGCTGCGCGTGAGTCCGAAACTGCCGATCGGAGGACTCAACGGCTGATGATAAACGCCTCCTCAAATGCTGCTATGCGTGATGATGAGATTTCTAATCATAGGACTCAATGGCTGGGGTGAAACACCTCTTCAAGTGCAGCCGCACGTGCTACTGAAACCTGATTCTGACAAAGCTATGGTTTTCCACTGCTGGCAACTCATCTGGGATGAATGCACAATGGCGCATAAGTGATCACTTGAGGTACTGCATGAAACCCTTAAGGATATAAAGGGGCGTAGCTGTCCAATGGAAGGGGTGTATGTTCTCCTTTCAGGTGACTTCAGACAAACCCTCCAGTCATCTCAAAAAGTACCAGGGTTGATGCTGGTAGAGCCTGCATCAAGTCTTCTTCCCTGTGGCAACACGTTCAAACGTTGAAACTCCAAACAAACATGAGAGCACACATCCATGTTGGCCAATTATCATCTGAGTTCTCAAAAGCCCTTCTCACACATAGCAACCGACACTGATGGAGATATTTTCATTTCTTCCATTTGCACCATTGTCATCAATGTCAGCGCCTTAATGACTGCTGTTTTTCGGGATTTACCAACCAACTTCCCAAATCTCCCTTTGCCCCTCCCCCACCAAATACCTCCGTCACTTCAATCAATAACAACGAATGCACTTTCTCCCATAACGTACAGATCCTTTGACTCCGTCACAGATCCCGATGAAACTGTTCATTTTCCAACTGAGCATTCACTAGGCCCATCAGGATAACCACCTCACGATCTTCATCTTAAAACTGGTTCTTCAGTAATGCTGCTTCGTAATATAGAACCACCTCGCCTCTGCAACGGAACAAGACTTGTGGTGAAGACAAATGTCATCACCGCAACAAAACTAACAGCATGCGGGAAAGGTGGGGATGCATTTATACCAAGACTCCCGCTCACTTTCTTCAAATATGGACATTCAGCGTCCCCTAAGAAGGGTCCACTCCACCTGCGTGTGTGCTTCGCGGTGTCCATTAAAAATTACAAGGACATACGGTATGCACTGCAGGCCTTCATCTGGGAGAACCATGTTTTTCCCCCGGTCAACTCTACGTCGACTATTCTAGAGTTGACAGCAGCACAAACCAGATCATACACAATCCTGGAGCGAAAACACGTAACGTAGTCTACAGCAAGGTGTTGGAGGATTCGTGAACTCTACAAGGGTTGCTGCATAGAATAAATTATCATGCTTTCATTTAAACATTCATCTTCCTTATGTTAATCCATGCATTTATCTCTCCTTCCACAGGCCACATTCAACCGCAGCGCCTCCCCCTTAAAATCGCATAATTTCCTGCACATTGAATACCAATAGAAAATGCATCTACATCATAAAGAAACATTCAGATTGCACCCCCACCCACAATTCTCTCCTTCCGCGGTAATGGTCCATGGAACAGGTTCCTTCTTTGAAAGATTGAGAACGCAAAAATGGCCCTTTTCAGGGCCACCCACCATTCAACACCCCATTTGGGGATGTGCCTCATTTGCCCCCGATTGTTGTTACTAATATGGATTTTCGATTGGGCTGGCTTTAAACTTAAACTACACCAATTGAATGGCAAAAATTCCCAGTAGTAAAACACCCGGTCGAAGATGTGTTATACTGCTAGGCTAGGATATATATCTATATACTATCTATCTCTCTATATATATGTGTGTCTGTGTGTGTGTGTGTGTGTGTGTGTATTTATTACCTCAAACGTTATTTTAGTGGATACACATATCAGAATACACACTTCGTTTTCTTTTTGACAGTATTTACTTCGTCTACCAGACTGCCCAATCAATAAAATTCTTCAAAAAATATGCCTTCTGGTACGATTCGAAACTGCGTCAACCTTTGCAGAAGAAAAAAATCAACTTACTTTAACCTCTCGGCTACGAATTAGGCTAAGTTTTATTTACTATTCAGGTACACTTACTCGTTCAGATTTTGCTCTTGCATACGTTTCACATACGAAACTGAACAGATATGCCATTCGTATATGTACATATATAGATAAATAAGTTACGAAACGGAAACTTTTAGTCTCTTGAGGAACTTTATCAAAGTAAATGAGGAAAATTATTTCATAACTTTTATTTATACACAGAAGTATCGTGGGGAAAATATGATTATATTTGAAATTTTGAATTTTCTTTTGACTGTTGTCCTACAAATATATTTTACTTACATCTAAATTGTCATATATAACCTCAATCCTCTTCATGGTTTACAACAGTATGGTCGACCACCATAGCATACACGAACCACTATTTTGGCTATACCAGCGTGACATATTCCGTCATAACAGGCGCCTATTCGATTCTGCTTGTAATAAATGCAAGCGAGTCTTGGAAAGAGTTAATTCCATGTTTGCAGAGAACATCTCTAACAACTCTGGTTATCGTGATTATTGGCGGCTCTGTAATAAGGTATTAAATTAGTGCAACGTCTCTATTCTCCTTTCTTCAATCAATTTGAAGTGTTATCATGCTCTGCTGATAAAGCTGAATGCTTCGCCTGTAAATTCCCCTGCATAACTTATCACTTAGAACTTAATCTCTGTTGAGTGATATGAATATAGCACCTTCAATGGTTTCTGCTATTCTAGATCCACAAAAAGCATGCGGACCGGATGGTATCCCTGTAATAGTCATAGTGCTCCTGAATTCGCTCTTGTTCTCTCTAAAATGTATCAGAAATACGTCGATACTTCCTGATTTCCTGCTTATTGGAACTCATAGTCTGTTATTTCAGTTTTTAAGAAATTTGTTGTCTCGTTCGACGCATCCAACTTTCGATCTATTAGCAGTCAATCTATTTTTGGGAAATTCCTAGAGGCCTTAACAAATCATCTCTAATCGCAGGGCCTTTTCTCAGACAAGAAATATGGCTTTCGTTTCTGCAGGTCAACTGTCGATATACTGACAACTGCGGAAATAGCCTATCGTGCTCACGATAAAAACGGTGAAGCCCGGGCTCTAGCATTGGACATCTCGGAAGTCTTTGACTGGGTCTGAAAAGTTACGGTATCTTCGACCACTTTTTTGAGCTTATCTAGTCTTTCCTATCAAATCGTGAAATAAAGCTATCCTCAACAGCCTTTTCATTAACGAATTTCCAGATGAGATCAGCTCTCAACTTGACATCAACGCTGACGACAATACCATTTACTCCTGTCTCCATAGTAAGGCTGACCAATCCGACAAGGTCAAAATGGATGCTGATGAACAAAACGACCTCAAAACCGTCAAATGGGGAAAGAGAATTTTAACACCTCCAAAACTAAACTTCTTTCCATTAATCGTCTGAGAGACTCCTTACCTCCTTCCATCAACATGACTGATGCTAACCTCAATGATGCTAACCTCAATGAATGTGACTGAAAACGTTAGCTTTAATAGGCGCAACGGCCTATTAAAGCTAACGTTTTCAGCTGACATTAAGGGGAAAGACTATATTGAATCCATTGCTGAGGTCAGCTTCTAAGAAAGTCGGTTTGCTGTTTCGTGCAAGGCAATTTTCTCTTCGTAATCTATCTTGCATATGTATAATTCTACGATTCGTCCGCATAGCAATCAAGCACTCTTTTCTTCGTTTCTAATGCAATGTTTCTATTTCTCAGCACATCGCTTAGCGTTTGGAATATCTCTTACGCTAATCTAATGCTTGTTGGGATCTCGGTGTTCCATTTACCACCGTCTGTTAGAACTCAGATATTTAAACTTCTGTACCTGCATCTTTGGCCTTTTCTCTTGCTTAGCCAT